TCTCTATCTCTCTCTCTCTCTCTCTCTCTCTCTCTCTTTATCTCTCTCTCTATCTCTCTCTCTTTCTCTCTCTCTCTCTCTCTCTCTTTCCCTATAAAATGGAAAAGAAAATTTGATAGAGACTGATAGAATTTTTTAAAAATTGAAACAAATTTAGGAACAAAAATAAAAATTTCACATTTTCCACGATGACAATTAAAATAGAAATAACCGCAGCGTTACTTGAAATAGATTTTTTTAACAAGTTATACGTCGATATTTTCGACATATTAATTTCATTACTGTTCGCTTATAATTAAAGATAGCAGAAAATTTTGTGAGTGTCTTGTTAGTATCATCTCAGATCTTTCATAAATAAACTCATAAATATGGATGAGTTATATTATTAAAGAGCTTGCTACAAAACTCCGGAGCACTTTCAAAATTAAACATAATCTTGCAATTTAAGTTCACGTATACGCGAGTAAAAACTAAATAAATCGTCCAGGTATTAACCGAGTTTTAGCTCTTCTGTTTTCATGGGCGTTATATTATCTTTTCAGAAAGACAGGTTTTATCTAATTTAACTGTGATTGACGTTGAATTACCTACTGTGGACAATTTTGCTGCGCGTACTTTCCCATTATCGCTGGATTTGTCGCGGAATTTATGGTTCACATATTCACCCTGCAAATTTACTGCGAAATTTCTCTATTTGAGTTTGGGGTTTCAATTCGTTTCATGTGGAACGCATTATTCAATATGAACGTGAAGTGGAAAGTGATCGCTTTTAGCCGAATATACACACAGCAGAAAACAAAAATATATATTATCTGAAAACAACATTTATAGATCTAAAGATATTAGTTATAGCAAAAAATATAGTGTGCATGGGTAGATTTTCTAGAAATATCAAGACAAATTCTATTAAATGACCGAAGAGAAAAATCAACGTGGTTTAACCCAGGCTCAACAGATATTCGTATTCGTCGCGCGCGCACGCACATTGATAAAGGAGTCAACGGGGAAAAAAAAAAATTTTTTTTCCGGCTTATTTTCCTGCACAATTTAATGGACGTGATGGGAAAGCCGGCTTCCAAAGCCCCACGCACCGTCTTCAATCACTCGCGCGTCTTCCGGGAAGCTCGTCCCTGACGAGGACGGAAAGAGGATTGGCAATGCAAAGTATCGTTCCAATTTCTCTGCATCGACAATCCTATTGCCGCTGTCTACCAGGATGGAGCTGTCCGCGCGTGCAGGTCGTCGCGCGAGATCGATAGCACCAGTCTCTTGTTCTTGTTTTCAAGGACCAGGTTTCTCCGGACGACTCTCGACAAGACGAAAAAATAAGCGTCGCAACGATCGTCGGCGCGCGGAAAGAGAGTCGCTCCTCCCGGAGACGGCATGAACTTTATTCTTCCGTCGAACTCTTTTCAGAAAACTCTTTCTTCGAGCGAACCTCGCGTCTGTAGTCGTCGTGAAGAAACTTCGGTTTATAATAAGAGCCGCGCCATCTGAATGATTTTAATCCCCTCTAAATTGAATTTTCTTCTCATATTTTCAGAGCGGCCTCCGCTGTTATTAAATTAAAGGAATTTAATTCTCTATGATACTATCTTTTTTGTATTTCCTTTTTTTTTTAACAGTTTATAAAGAATTTTCCTTGTTGCCAGCGGCTGTCTCGGCTTATCTTCTTAGAAAACACAAGCTCTATAACTCCGCCACGTTGTATCTGCATAAACCGGGCGAAATTAGCTTGCGCGGAGATGTGAAAAGTTTTTCAGATACTGTTATTTGTAGATAACAGGATATCCATCGTCCTGGGATATTGCCGCGGATTCCGTGGGCGTTTAGCCATGCGAACCGAATCAATCGCATTTGAATTTCGTGTTATGCTTGCGTCGAGAGACGAGAATTTTACGATACTCTGCTTACCCAATAAACAGAAACGTTAATTGAACTTCGCAAGCACACGCGGCGGAGCCCGTCGTTGCGAGACCGTCGACGCATCTCGAATAAGGCCCACGTGACACGTATTGCCCTTTAGTCTCCACCCTTCCAATCTTTTTCACGGCTACTGTACTACAGTTTATTTATTTTTTTTTGTTTTTTTTTACGATCGACCGGAACGACCAACCGAACAATGACGCATGTCGTAAAATATCAAATTCCCTTTTCCTTTTCTTTTTACGGCGCGGCAGAGTCACCGCAAAATTTTGGCGACACCTTGTGCTCTCGAAGAAAAAAAGAGAAATAAAAAATTAAAATAATAAAAGGCTGAACTATTGCTCGGAATTATTAGTCAGCTTATTTTTTTCCATTCGGAAATACGCGTGTGTAGGCGTGCCAATCGTTGCGAGTCGGCTCCTAACGAGGCGTACCGGTCGATAAGATCTCGATGAGAAATATTTTTAGCCATTCATGCTCAATTTCTACTTTGCTTTCGTAGCTCTATTAGCGGAGGTGGCTTAGAATCTGGAATCGATTCAGATTTTAACCACGCCCTCTTCAGCATCATATCTTTAATTCTCGCAATCGGTGCTGCCACGCCACGCTGGGACTGTCACAGTTTTTATTATACCATTTTGCATATTTATTAATTGTTACATCTTTATTACAGTTTATTATTACAGAGGGTGGCATTTGTAAGGTCTATTTAAAGCTTATTTATTATATTTGTAAATTATTAGCCAAGATTATCGATTATTAATTACTGCAATCGCGCGGTTACTGATAGCTTTGATGCATATGGTTTCATTATCGATGAGAATTATCATTGCGCCCGATTTACAAATGCCTCCTACGATAGCATTTCCATTTTCATGCGATATTCTCATGTTACTATTCATTGCACTATTCACGTATTTCTCACGATTTGCCACTATCACTCCCTGATGTAGGCTCTTATTGATGATTGTAATTTACTGCTGTGATGCGTGCTGATTTCGTACGGATGTACTGACCTGCATTCGAATCTGTCAATTTTTATCACATATATATATATACATACATCACAAATATATGTATATATATATATATATATATATGTACAAATTAATTATAGTTTCTCCTTAGCTAACTTTTGAGACATCAGATATAACTTTGATTACCTTGATTAATCCATGAAGAAAGATAGCCAATTTTGAACGGTGATTGTTTTCGCTATCCGACAAACGCTGAGAGAAAAAAATTGTCGACAGTGGAAAATAAAATAGACTACCTTTCTTCACAAGCATATATTTATTATTCAGCATTGATATATATATACATTATTATTATTATTCGTTGCAATTTATTATCAATATGTGCGATAAGCGTATTCTAAACAAACAACAAAAATATTATCGCCGACGAAACTACAGTAAACAGCTACGTGCGTATTTACTACGAAAAACAAGGTAAAAAGCTTGCACGTCGTTCGTTTGCACGCATTTTCGTAAAAATATTTTCTTGCCGATTCCTCGAGGCTTTGCAATTAATAAAAGTTTATGTGTACAAGAGTTATTTCGTAAGAATTAAAAATTCTAAGCGTGTCACGGTGCGTTGACCGAAAGCGTGTACCAGACGATGGAGAAGGGGCTTTATTACGTCCGAGACGAGAAAACTTTCTGAATAATATATAACGCAATGCGAGAGGTGTTTATTATGCTCTGCATGATGGAGAGACGCGTGCTGCGCACTGCAAATTCTAGTAAAAGTCACATATATGGGAGCGTAATTTTCAATCAGCAGCAAGGAGTTTCCATCGCTTCAGGCTTAATTATTATAGTTTGTATTACGACTCGCGTGCACTCGTAGCATACTAACGAAGTGAAACTTTCGAACGTAAGGAATGCAACGGATAAATCTTCCTTGGAAATATATAAAGTTCGCGCACTCTCACCTTCATTTATTACTACGACTGAGACTGCGCACGTCTTAAGCAATTACGTCTTTCGTTACTTTGTTAATTATGTTCTTTTACACGTAAAATGCCGTTGACACCAATTAACGTTGTAAACATCGGCGTCAGCTGCGCCATTACCGCATTCGGCAAATTATTTCATTAGCGTAGTTTACAAACGCCGCGCTTAAAGTGTGTTTCTATCGGCGGGCTAAAAACTACATTCCGCGCAACGCCGCACGGCTACGCGCGGAAAAACACTCGCGCAAACAAATAAAGACAGTAAATCGTGCAAAACAATTAATTCTTGCCATTATCGTAAATCAATCTATCAGCTAGCAAACGCCGGACGTTTAAACGCCTCCGTTAAAAAGTCGGAAACGAGCTAACGACCCGGGGATCGATTAAAATGGAATTACTGAACCGTCATGGATTCGATTAATCAAAGTTTCATGCTTGCGCGGGTACTAAAGCGATAGAAAAACATACGAAATTGTAGGAAAAATCGCGGATGAACGTGTCGAGCGTGCATTCAGAATCACCGTGTATATCCGTGTTGCACTTTTCGGGCGAAAGTGAATCTCCTATTGTGAATTACACGAACGTCGAACGTAGATCGACGCAAATCGATCTTACGCGCGGTTACATAAGAAAGCTTGATGCATCCCGATAACCAATAAATGGCTACATCGACGCAGGTAACCGGCGAACAGCCAGCGTGCGCTCGGTCGGCTACTCGGACCTCTTCGTCCTCAGCAAGAAGGACATGTGGGACGTGCTCAAGGAATATCCGGCCGCCAGAGTACGCCTGGAAGCCATCGCAGTCAAGAGGCTGGAGAAGTACAAGAGAGCTCCTCTGGAGAAAGGTGAGTCGACAAGTTCTGTTTTGTCTTCGCTCGCTTTTCCGCTTGCGCAAGTATATACAAACAGCTATCATATTTCTCTAACAGCGCTGAATAAATAGAGCAGAATCGACGGGTCGCAGCGCCCTTCGATCGGCGCAAACTTTGTCAAGCGAGGATTACAGCTTGGAAATTTTTAAAACTAAACATTAAGGAAGCTTTTAAAAATATCTCTGATAAAATTCACTGATTTTTACATCCAAAAACGATGAATCACTTATTTAGCAAAGTTAAATTGATAAAATTTTTTTAGCTATTTTGAATAGCTAATTGTTGATTAGCTCGCACCGACATTGTTTCAGCCTTTGTTTTATTTAGTGAAATCGTAACAAAAACAAATATGTTAATTTGCTGCTCTGAAAATGTCGGAGACAAAACTTTTGCGTCCACTTGCAATTCTGCTCACTTCTCTTGTATGTAAAGCATGTTTCGCGAATGATTTCAAGATAACTCGTAAGTGTGTGTGTATGTGTATGTGTGACGTCGCATCCGCGAAATACATCACGTCGGAAATACGCTGAAAACTGCTTTTCAATTCACTTGTCTTCGAAGCGCGGAACAGACTCGAATTCGAGTCTAGGCGCGCGTCGCGTGCTACGAGTAGCTTGGCGCGCAACCGAAACGCCACGAATGCCTTCTGAAACTTTCCTCGTTATCATCGTTAAAATAGCTAGACGCGCGGAAGTTTACGCGCCCTCGGCAAGGTAAGTTCTTCGGGGCGCGGATGCCATTCGGGGAACTTTGAACCGGAACCGAGAACGGGAGATTCCATCAAGATATGCTCGTTGCTGGAACAGTGTATTAACGAATTAATCGACCTGGAAACGCTCTCGGTCTTGTATAGCGATAGTCATTAAAGATGTCTTTGAAGCGGATACATTGTGTCGCATTCTCGCGTAATAGTTCCGGGAAGACAAGCTGCAAATTTGACGTTTGCAATAGAGCAGAGTCGTTATTATGAAACTTGTTTCAAATTTAATTGGATTGATGCTTGCAAAAGGAGCCACGAGTCTCAAGGATCATTAAATTTTGTTAAATATGAAATTTTATTGATTATAACATTATAACCGAATAATTTTTTACACGTCAAGTACTTAATATCGTCATTTTAATTTAGGCGAAAAATTTACATTCGTATTCAATGAAATTAAATAACTAACAAATTTTATTTTTATTATATTTATGTGCTGTGTGCTTTTTCTGCCGTCATCGATTCAACTATGTCCGATACAATCGAAACTTAGCTACGAATACTTTATCAGGATTTACAGTCAAACTTTGCTCCAAGTAAAATTTCCAGCTGCAAGAGAATCAATCTTCGAAAAATATTTCTGCACTTCAAAGAACATTTCCACCTTTCAATAAAGATAGAACTATAGTTTAACAAGTTTGACAAACTTCTTATTTATCGATTAACTTCTACTGGAGTTTCTTCAAGAAGAATTTGAATTAATTTCTCATTAACTTATTCAGTCGATATAAATTTTTCCACTTTTCACTTCGTAAATTCTAATTTTATTGTGGACAAGAAATAGCGCTAAGATTAATAAAACGGCAGCTTTTCCGTCCTTTATTTTCATCTCTTTCGGGTCCTGCGACGACTGTGGTAAAATACGTGCTGCCTAAAAAAAAAACGTGTAGACTACGAGTCGACTGCCTCGAGGGCTATATGCTATCAAAATCTCTCTCATTGCTCGTCTTTTATTTCTAAAAAGCCGTCATTCAAAACATTCTTTTCGACCGCAATTTTTGCTGGAAAAATACTCGCGATGTTTTTCTACTTTTCTCCCTGCATAATCTTTTCTCATTCTTTCCGCAGACGTAACGAGCGTTCAACGCAAGTGCAATGTCACGTATGAAAAGTCAGCTTTCGCAGGCGTAGCTTTAGTAGAACATTTGCAAGAAATAAACAACATTTCTGAAAAAAGGCATATTAACTGAAAAAGATAAATGTCGTTAGGTGACAAACGACACGGCGCAAACCGTTTTTAAATCTTCTATCGTTTCCACTGTTGACTAAACTTAATTATAAATTTACTTTGTAGCTGGATAAAATGCGCGAGTATTTCGATTATCCGTATTAAATATATCTTATTTTCTTAATATTATTTGAAGATTGCCGGCGCAAAACCGACGTTCCATCTTCCACAAAGGGAAATAGTTTGAACCTCGCTGCCGCGGGTGCAGATAAAATTCAACTCCGTTCAACTCTACTGCGGAAAACAATTTTATTTTTCTTTCGCGGGCGGGAATTCGAAGCTGCCGAGGGATAAGCGACTATATTATGTTTACCGCAGTTCCGTGACGACGTCGTACTCGAAAGTTTCGTGCGTACTACGGCGAACTTCGCCGCCTTATACCACAGGGCGAGCCAAGAGGTGGCTGCTTTGCGCGCGCCGTGAAGTTCCGGATTAATTAATTAAACTCCTCAGCTCTCCTCGCCGCGCCTATTACCAGCGCGCGCTGACGAAAATCTTTTGAACCAACCGCAACGAAATCACGTCCCCGCTTCGCTGAGTCTTTTCAGTTACCGCTCGCGATCGTCAATATTCCCACGTTAATGTCTTTGACGATTTTCGGTCCTTGAACTTTGGTCAAGCGTTTAAAAGATATATTTCAAAGTGGCACGAAAAACTTTCAGTGCGCTTTCAATTAATCTTGATAATAGTATTCTTTCATACCAACGAGTCTCTTTCATTTTCTCTTTCTTCAATTTTTAACTTAAAAGCCATGAAATGGAGAATTTTAGTGCGAATTAAAAGAAAAAAATTAATTCGTAAAACGTATTGCGAAGAAAATTAAAATGTATAATATTTATGCGCATATTCACATTTCTGTTGAACTTATTTCGAAAACTGCTCATTTCTCGCATATTTGCAAATTAACGCAATATTTTTTATGCGGAAACTGTACCGCTTTGATTACGCATGCCGCAAATTTACCGCCACTGTTTTGTATGTTTCCCTCATACATTTCATTTGCCTAATGCAGGGAGCGCACGCAAGGTAAATGCAAGATGGAAATTAGACGGTCGCGTTTAACGCTAAATATACGACTGCGAGTATCTCTATCTCGATATCTCCGTTTTGAGATTCACTCATCCACATGCGAAATATTTTCACGACCCAATTCCGTGCGCGTGTAAAAGCGCGAGGAATGAACCGGGGCGAGTACTCGGCGGCGAAAGTCGATGCTGATGGAGATAAATGGCTAACGGGGAAATCCGGCGATTCTTTTCTTCCGGGCGTCTCGTTGATCCGAAATACGCGAAAGCGACGGTCAGAATATCGCAGCACAGCGGATCAAGTTCGGTCTGCGGATCGACGTGTCCGTAGCTCGAAGATTCTCCGAATCCTCTTTCCATTTTCCGACAAAACATGTGTGGATATACAGAGGTTCCGGAACTACTGAACGTGTCCTTTCGACCGCAAATACCAGAGGACAAACTAAGAAAGATGAGAGAGAATATCTGACCATGCATTCTCAACGAGAAGTTAGAGAGGCTATTTCTTTTTTAAAACATGAAAGGAGAAAGAAAAGCGTGAGACGCAGACATGGAAAAAATAGTCGGAACATTAAAATGCGAAAAGATTTCAAAATTTCAAAATCTGGTATTTTCAACAAATTATTTTCTGAAGAAATATTAATATTAAAATTTAATTTTTTCGTTATTTTCTTTCTTAATTAATATAGCAGAAGGAAAGATATAATTCACCGAATAATATACCGAATTCTAGAAGCTACAAAGATGATACCGAATGGAACGAGATATCCCCCAAGATGGAAAGCTCAAGTATTTCCTTAAAGGGACGTCGCTCCACTTTTGAAAATACAATCACCGGTCCATCGTAACATTTTCCAATAATCCTCTTACTATGCGTTACGGAAACTTATTTCGTTTGTAAACTTTTCGATCCATTCATCACGATGAGAACGATGGACTTTCACTCGTCCCTTCGCGCTGCCGACGTTACTTTTACGTAGCTACGGGATGATGTATGGGAAAATTAGGTCGCTGTAATAAACGTAATGCGTAACGTGAGTTACGGCCGACCAGTTACGGAAGAGGAGGAAGTTTGCACATATGCCAACAGCGAAATCCGGCTTACTGATCCGCCGTCAGTATTGGTGCAACGTATTACGTTGGAAAAAAAGTTGTAAAAAAGATGCGAAAAGAAGATATCATAATAACATTACAAGTTTAAAAGCACGAAGTAAAAAGAAGTACGGTACTTGGCGAATTGCAGTATGAAGAAAGGTCTTTCGAAAGTGAAACTGTTTGCAGAGAGTGCTCCTACGTCAACGTGCAAGTTATACTTATATCAGACTTCGAACTTAAATAACTTGAAAGAATCGCGCGTCGTGCAACATAAAGATAACAATTTTTTTTGACGTGTCGACTATTAGCTTTTTGAGCCGCGATTTACCCTGTGTGATATCGTGATATTTAAAGGTCATTTTAATTACAAAAGGATTAATTTAACCGGCCCGAGCCCACACGTCCTACATAATAATCAGCTGTTGTACTCGGCAGCCAGCGTTGTGTAGTCATCGCGTATTATTAAAACCTAATGATGAGATATTTACGTAAAATATAAATATACTCTTAAAATATCCTTGTTTGCATAATTCACAACTTTGCATCGTGTTTCCTAACGCGCAGGCACGCTTTAATCGATTTTGCATAAGCGAACAGAGATCATTAAGCTGTAATCGAGGACCCGACGCGATCGATGCGTCTTTGCCGGGCGAACGACATTGTCGCAAAGGCGGAAGCCCGTAACGAGCCGTGAGGAATCACACATTTCGCGCAGCGATCGAAGGATACGCGTCAAAGCGAAATAGCGCGCTATTGATGTCACTGAATACTGGCGACGTCGGTTAAATGTCAACGCGCCCCAAAAGCGGAAATTCGAGAGCACGTACAGATCGTATCGAGCAGGACGTGCGTAAACACGATGCCGCAATGCATGGATAACTTGCATCGCGAATGAGTGATATATCCTAAATAAATGGCCAGCTCGTTGTTTCACCGTATTTCGAAAATTTTGACGACTCCGATTGAGCTGTTCACGCACGCGGCGGTGTTTCGTTTCCAACAAAATAGAAAAAACGATGGTGATACAGATGAAAACGCGTCTCTCCCGCTCCCGCTATTTCCTGTTTTGCGCGAGTTATACGATCTTGAAAATACATCCGTGCTGATTTTATCGAAGATAAAGCGTTACTCGTGAATAAAACGCGGAAACATATTTTGTGTTAATTAATATTGACGAAATTATTAATTATTTTGCCGTGTATTTTTCCGTATGCAAAACAAACTGCCGAAAACGAAATTAAATATTTCTCTTGGTTTCTTTTAATAAAGTTACACATTTCCATTTCTTGCCTATTGCAGCTCATTCTTTCTTTCTCTTTGTCTCTTTCTCTTCGTATATAAGGATAACTTAAAAAAATTTTTCTAGAATATTCTTTCTATTTAATTTTAGTATAATTAATATAACTTGTGTAATGCAAAAGAGTGAAAGAAAATAGAGAAATACTTAACTTTTTGCGGGCAATCTAAATTTTTTCGATTTTTATTATCACAATGAATTATATTTAATGAAAAAGTAGAAATGAACTATTATACCGGGATGTTATCGATAGGTTAACACAAGCCAAAATAACGCGCTCCGTCATAAATACAAATTAATCTTAAAACATACCAAATATAAATCTTTCTGTGCGAATAAACAAAATAATATTATTATCAAAAATCGACATCCCCCACTGAATTCCACTCGATGAGCCTGACGACGGCAAAGAATGTCATCGCGTACCGTCGCTATAGACAGCTACTAGAAGGTGGGGTGCGTATTTCCAGCTGCTATGGGCAGGTGCCAGAGCACACCCGGCCTGGTGGAATCGCGAGGTCGCATACCACTGGAGGAAATGTGGATATCACCGGTCGACCTCAGGGCCACTCACGCGTACTCGACGGCCGCCTCGTTGTTCTCGCCGAGCCCGAGCCCGGTGACGGCGCGCCACTTGCCGACCGCGGGGACCCTGGCCGACGCGAACAACATGCGTAGGGGTGCGGAGAGCCCGATAAGCGCGGCCAGCAGCGGGCCCAGCAGCGAGGATCAGACGGCCAGAGTGCCGCAATCGGCCGCCACACAAGCCTCTACCGGAAGGCAGTCCACCCACTCCGGTAAGTTGTTTGCGCGATCCCTCTTCATCATTGCTAGAAACAACCGCGAACATGGTATAAATGTACAGCGTATGACATTCTGAAAACGCACGCTCCAAATTGAATCTTTCAATTAAAATATTTGCGCTAATTCAATTTGCTCAATTCATTAAAACTAATAGGCTAATTTAATGTAGCGAATTTTGCAAAAAATAAAAATCGAGAGGAAAAGGAAATGGAACATTTTATTTGATTTTAATTTATATAATTTAAATGTTGAATTATCTGACTTTAATTTGGTTTAAATTTAAACTGTTAAATAAAATTGTGATTAAATTCCGAAGTAGCTGCTGGAAAATAAATATGTTGTAAATTTTTAATGAAATTAATTATATATCATACAGAGTGTTTTTTGTGTTATTTTTCGACTGCGTTGCACTTGATAAATATATTGAGTTTTGAAATATAATTAAATTAAAATTTAATTTTGCATTTCGAGCAAATTTGTCATTTATTGTACCATTACACGCCATGATTCACGTCTGATATATTTATACCATATACCGTGATTTAATCCTCTTATAGCTCCGTGAGTAGCGTATAAACTATTGCGTCACCTCTCAAAAATCGATAGCGGCAGGTACTTGATATAAATTTTCATCATTAATTATTAAAGTAATGGAATCGTTAATTTATAATAATAAAAATGAATATAATGCTCGCTGTGAAAAATAAAATGTAGTTTCATGCTTATATTGCAAAATAAACCGAAAATATTGCAGCGGTGTGAAAACTAAAATAAATAAACGCATCTATTGGGAAATTCATCGTTAAATTCCGTGTTGAAGTGGACTCGACATGACAGTTTATGAAAATGCTGCAGAGATATTTCTATAAGTACTCGAAGCGCACCGAATAATTATGTAAATTGTATTTTACGATCGTTGATAAAACGCTCGCGTAAAACGATGGTAATTTTATCCCATTCCAGTCATACTTAATATCACAAATTTATTTTATCCGCGTACCGTGCAAATTTCACGTCGGATTTATTTCAACTGCACTGCCGATCGCTAACTTACGGTGATTCTTTCGCGATAGCATTACAGGGTGGTATATAAATCATCCGCTGATAACCCCCGCTGTGCCCGACGCTGTGCCCGCGCAAACTGCTGACGCACTACTGTAGTTTCTTATGGACTGTAAGACTTGTATTAAGTGAAGCGCGAACACGGAGAGACTAGGACCTTTGTAGCCTCTCACTTTCTGGTCATCAATATTTCACGTTCCATAAAAGCATTTTTAGAAAGGCCACATAATGTTTTGTATCATAAACCGCATCATTGCCGTTGCGTTCAATGGAATGTTTTGCGATAACTCTGGAAAATGTGTTCGGAATAAGAATTATTGAGACAAAGTCGTAGGTTCTCTCTACGGTAGCGTAAAAATTATCATCATTCGCAATATTTCCCGACAAAGACGCTGTTAGTTTTATTTGTTGTTATTCACGATTTATCAATCCCGACAGATTTGAGATATTTGAATAAGTTTTTAGTGGTTTATCATTGTTAATGAAGAGGAAGATTGGGAATTATGCGGCTTTGCGTGCATTTCCGGAAGACCAGTTATTGCGCCTTCGAGCGATTCGATGCATACCGGTCGGCGGGCGCGCCAGATCGGATTAGAATTCCGCGGCAAGCGGGGATCTCATAACAAATCAAATCCAACCGGACGTGAATAACGCGAACGGTCACTTTTATCGGCGCTGTAAAACGACAAAAAGTAAATTCAGAAATATCGCGCGCGGATAATGAATGACGCGCGCGACGCTCGGCGCCACTCATAAAATAGCGCCGACCATTAACCCCGATAGATACGATAGGTAATAACGATTTAACGTGTTTCTGCCGACATTTATATGTCGTTCGGAAAATAAAATCCCCGCCTTCTCATGCACGCTGAAAATTTCGCGGTAAACGAGCGTTTCCGTTTAGAGCGGCGTGTCGCGGCATAACGCGATCGCT